TTCCATTACAAATTAAGCATTGGGTGGGGCGCTGTGATGGGGGGGGGAGGGATGGGGGGAGGGGCTGTCGGGGACTGTTGGGGTGCAGCAGGGATGGGGTGAGGGGCTGTTGGGGTGCAGGAGGGATGGGGTGAGGCTGAGGGGCTGTGTCGGGGACTGTTGGGGTGCAGGAGGGATGGGGAGGAGGCTGTGGTGGGGGAGGGAGGGGATGTCGGGGACTGTTGGGGTGCAGGAGGGATGGGGTGAGGGGCTGTCGGGGACTGTTGGGGTGCAGGAGGGATGGGATGAGGGGCTGTGTTGGCGACTGTTGGGGTGGGAGAGAGATGGGGTGAGGGGCTGTCGGGGACTGTTGGGGTGCAGGAGGGATGGGGTGAGGGGCTGTGTCGGGGACTGTTGGGGTGGGAGAGGGATGGGGTGAGGGGCTGTGTCGGCGACTGTCGGGGTGAGGGAGGAATGTGGAGGAGGCTATGGCGGGGGAGGGATGAAGTGGGGGGGCTCTGTAAGGGAGGGGGATTGTGGTGTAGAATGGGTGGTTTGTGGGACTCTGCTGGGGTGTGGCACTGGGTCAGGGCAGGTGGGCTGTTGGCGGAGGGATGGTTGGGGGGACAAAGCTGTTTAGGCAGTTATTTTGAAGACCGTGTTTTGTGGGGCCCAAAAGAAGGAGTTTGGAGGGTATGGAGTGGCATTGCTAGGCACGGAGTTCTATGAAAGGGTCTAATTGAAGGGTGCTTTGGGAGAATTACTTCATTTTAGGCTTTATGTGTCTGAATAAATCTTTAAGATGACTTAAATAATACATTGTTCAAACACAATTAAAATGGCATACCAAACACACGTACCATTTTGAGGGGGCTTTGTTTGAGCTGTTTTGTGTGTGTGAATGCCTGGGGGGAGCTTTGAATTGGGTTTTGTTGTTTTTTCACTATTTTCATTCTGCCACATATACATACTGTGGTTTCATCTAAGGCAGGGGTTGCCAACCTGTGGCTCCAGAGCCATGTGTGTCTCTTCAGAAGTTAATATGCGGCTCCTTGTACAGGCACCAACTCCGGGGCTGGAGCTACAGGCGCCAACTTTCCAATGTGCCAGGGGGTGCTCACAGCTCAACCTCTGGCTCTGCGAAAGGCCCTGCCCCCCACTCCATCCCTTCCCGCCCCCTCCCCTGAGCCTGCAATGTCCTCGGTCCTCTCTCTCTTTCTCCCAACCTCCCCGACCCAAAGCCTCCTGCATGCCAAGAAACAGCTGATCGGGAGGGCGGGGGAGGTGCTGATCCATGGGGCTGCAGGTGGGTGGGAGGCGCTGGGAGCAGGGTGGGATAGCTGATGGGGGGGCTGCTGACATATTACTGTGGCTCTTTGGCAATGTACATTGGTAAACTCTGGGTCCTTCTCAGGCTCAGGTTGGCCACTGCCGATCTAAGGGGAGGTGGAGTACTTACACTGACGGGAGAAGCTCTCCTGTCTGCCTTGGTAGCGTCTTCACTAAGCGCTGCAGCACTGTATGTGTAGACAAGCGCAAAGATAGATAGATAAAAGGATTGAGAGAGAAGTTGTAGAGTGAATTGGTTGGTGGATGACAGGTGGGGTTTTGTTTTTTGTTTGCTTTATTGAGCAATAGCTTGATAACAATCAATAATAGAGGGAAATATTTTTTCTGTGTCATTTTGAAATTGAAGGTCAACAAAAAATAGATCTGGCTTTTGGCAATAATGAACAATATTTTTGGCAATTCTCCATTAAATGTCAACATGTGCATCTGAAATGGTGCTGAACATTGTTTAATTGCAAGTATTGACTAGAACAAACAAGCTTCTTATATGCTGTTAAATACAGTTGGTTCTGGTCAACCCTTCCAGTTAAACTGCATTCATATATTTGAGTTTTGAGTTAGCTGTAGAATTCAGCCTCCCTTTTTAGTTAACTTAAATGGTGTCTGTATGACTTGGGATCCTAAATGTGAAAGAGAGCATAAATTGGCAAGCCTTATTATTTTATTCCTATTTTTCTTCCTAAAATTCCCCCCTCTGGCCTTGCCTTACACAAAGCATCTAAAATAGCTTTTGTCTAGAGTGAGTAAACTCTTTCAGATCATGACTAATCCTGCTCCATATGCACCAATACAGCAAAGAAGAATTTCTTAAAATACTGTAGCAAATTGTTCTCTTGGATTAAGGTTCATTCAAAGATAGCTGTGGCAACTACTAGTTACCTTGATAGATTGCCTGTAACTCCTTAGAAAATTCCATTCACGTATTTGCATAGTGGCAGTGCAAAAACCACTGATGGAGTCCATCAACACAGGCTTCATCTCTTGGTGCAATCTCATGAGCAGACTACAAAACACTTATACTCTTTAATCAAAAAAATTTTTAAATTCAGACTTTAATGTAATTATAATGACAATAAGTAATCTTTTTATATTTTAAAATAGTGGACTTGTACTCTACAGAAATAGTGTTGGTGAACTGGTTGGCCAAAGTGATCAAATAAAATGCAGAGACTTTCATCTCTAAATCACCTGTTCAAAGCCCAGGTTTGTAATTGCAGTATATGAAATTGGTTGGTCCAAGTCAATCCAATTCTTAGGTGACAAATAGCAATAAGAATCCTTGTTGGCCATCTCAGGAGAAAAGTCAAGGGCTCTATAGACCTAATGATGACAAACCTGTTACCCTAGAGTTGTTTCTTCCAGGATGGGGTTGAAGCACACTGACATAGAATCATAGACTTTAAGGGCAGAAGGAACCATTATGATCGTCTAGTCTGACCTCCTGCACAGCGCAGGCCACAGAATCTCACCCTCCTGTACTCCTGTATCAAACCCCTACACTGTGTCTGAGCTATTGAAGTCCTCAAATCGTGGTTTAAAGACTTCAAGGTGCAGAGAATCCTCCAGCAAGTGACCCATGCCCCATGCTGCAGAGAAAGGCGAAAAACCCCCAGGGCCTCTGCCAATCTGCCCTGGAGGAAAATTCCTTCCTGACCCCAAATACGGCACTCAGCTAAACCCTGAGCATGTGGGCAAGACTCACCAGCCAGACACCCAGGAAAGAATTCTCTGTAACAACTCAGATAATGGATGCACTGGTCACTACTCCAGAGTTAAGATTGATTTGACAAAAGCAACCAAAGTTGAAACTTGTTCCCTTGAATTTATAAGGAAAATTAACTTTCCTCAAGCCTCCAGAACTCCCAGTCCAATGTGAGTTTTCATGGAAGTTTTATGTGATTCCATTGAATGTTATGGGAGCCTGGGGAAGCTTGCACTGCCATTGATAATAGTGTACCAGTTTTGTTGACAAACTTAAAGCTCCAGAGCTGTCAAGCAAGCTAACCTGATTTGCAAACACGCTGCGTGCATTTGGCTTTTACAGATGGGCCACGTTCTACTCGTATTTTGCCCACTACTGAGCATCTTGAAATACAGACTGTGCTCGTAGTCTGAGGGGCGAATGTAAACAGGTGGATGTGTATCTTTTAGAGGGTCACTTAAAAGATTCATGGAGGGAGCAGGCAGGGCCGGCTCTGGCTTTCTGGCCGCCCCAAGCAAAAAAAAAAAAAAAAACCTGCGGCGCGGCCGGAGCCAGGATGCAGGGGGACTCCCTGCCCTGCAGATGTGCCCCGGCTAGCGGGGGGAGGGGGAGAGAGCGGGGGGAGAGAGAGAAGGGGGGCGGCCAGGGCTTCAGCGGGATGCTGCCACGCGGCCCCTCCCGCCATGCCCCCTGCCGGGAGGGCTCCGCACCGCTCCGGTCGGCTGGGAGGGAAGGACGCGGGCTGCCCTGCTGGGCTTGCTGCAGGGTGCTCCCGTCCTCCACGCCGCTGCCCCCTACAGGGCGGCCGGAGCGGAACAACAACAACAAAAAACGGCCGTGCCGCCCTAGGATTGGGCAGAATGCCGCCTCCTACAAGCTGCCGCCCCAAGCACCGGCTTGCTCGGCTGGTGCCTGGAGCAGGCCCTGGGAGCAGGACTAGTAATGAATCTACCAGTCCTGTCCAGGAGTAATGTCCTGAGAAAACAGATCCACTTTCTTAGTCACTGTTCAGTGTTTGTTTAACAAGGTTGAGTGATGGAGGGCATCAAAAAGGGAAAGAGTCTTCTCTAGGGGAGAGTGTATGCAGTGATTTCACAATTACATAACTTCTATCCAAGAGAGAAAAATGTTCATACAACTACCACAGCGGTCTCCTGCAGAAGTTACCGTTCTGAACAAGTTAGTTGATATGTGTTGATGTGTGCTGGCCCTCCAGAGGAAATAATTCTAGAAATACAGTTGTAGAATACATAAAAATCCCCAAAGTAAATACAGAACAAAATCACAATTTGAATTGTAAAAATGCATTCATTTACATAAACTGCAGTTCAGTGTGTTTTCATCTAATTTTACCATGCTGTCTTATCTTTGTAACGGTGTCAGCAGGTTGCCACAAATAACATAAGCACAGCTTAAGGCATTCTTTCAGTTGTCTATAAAGAAAATGGCAGGCTTCACTCACTCATTCCAGGCTTCTTGGAAACATCTTCTA